AAAGGCAACTAGGAACTCCAGAAAAACAAAGAGCTGGCTAATATGAAGCTATTTATTTATTATTTGTGGAATAATTCTGAGCACTTGTAAGAAAATCAAATCTACTTGATCTGAAAACAGTACAATTCTTCCAAGGCAGGTACAAGTTTAGTGACAGAGTATTTCCCTCACTACAGATCTGTAGTGAGCGATGTTTACAAGGTCATAATCTTACATTAAGTTCTTAGTGATTTTTCCCTTTCAGGATTAATTCATAGTTAATACATGGAAAAATTCACTGTAAGTTTCAGAACAGAAAGTGTCTAAATCTTTACAATGTCAATGTGGTGGGACAGGGAGAGGTAGAGAGAAATGAAGGAATGGTAATTTACTTATTAACATAGTAGAGAGTCGAGAAATACTGTCCACAACTGATGGATCAAAAACCAGAGATTTAAGTATATTGTTTAATTTTAAAAGGTAAGTAATAGCAGAAGTAAAAAAAAAAAAAATTAACAAAAACAAGGAGTGGTTAAATAAGCTAAATTCCTCATTTTTATAGCAAGGCATTAGTAAGCTGATGAGTTAAAAGACAGAAATAAAATATTATTTACAGCTGAAAAGTTACAAAAACAAAACAAAACAAAAAATAGTCAAAAGTAGTTACTCTGAGGAATGGAACAGAAGATAGGAAAGTAAAATTTTACTTTTCACTTATATTTTTGTATTGTGTAAATTAATTTTTCCTGTGCATATTTTACATTGATAATAAAAGGACTGGTATCTGTATCTTACTGTATTGACATAGATTTAGGGTTCAACATTTTAGAGGACAGTAGAGAGAAGAAATCAAAAATTGGAAAATGAAGTTTTTTGAAATAAGGCTAAAGCGTACAGGATTAGGTTATGTAAAAAAAAGAGGGAGTAAAAAGTAATTTTATAAAATCAGCCAATACATTTGAGACAACAAAGATAACCCTTGAGGGCATTATGCTAAGTAAAATAAGTCAGACAGAGAAAAGACAGATACTGAATGATCTCACTTATATGTGTGGAATCTAAAAAAACAAAGAAACAAAAATGAAATGAAAGAAACAGAACAGATTGGTGGTTGCCAGAGGCAGTGGGGTAGAGGGAAGGGAAAATGGGGGAAGGTGCTGAAAAGGTACAAACTTCCAGTTATAAGAGAAGTAAGTTCTGGGGGTGTAATGAATAGCATGATGACTACAGTTAACAATAAGGAATAGTATTTGAAAATGCTAAGAGAGTAGATCTTTGAAGTTCTTACCACAAGAAAATAACTAGCTATTTAGGTTATAGATATGTTAACTAAACTAATTGTGGTAATCACTTTATAATACATGCATATATCAAATTATTGTTATACATCCTAAACATACACAAACTTGTATATTAATTATATCTCAATAAAACTGGGGGAAAACCAAAAGCACTCAATTCACAAACAGGATTGTCTATGATAGAAAATGAGCCTTTACCCTGAAAGCAAACAACTTAAGATACCAATAAAGGAAAACACACACACACCAACCCCTAGGAGCCGAGGGACTTATAGGAGACACTGGAGAATCTCATTCTCTGGGTATTTTTCAGAGGACAGTACCCTCTGATTATTTCTTGATGGCAGAATGCTATTAAGAAGCAGGGCTGTGATCTTTAAAGATCCTATAGAACTTCATTTATAACACGACTCACATTCGTTATTTCAATAAAAAGCAGGCTACAATTCTTGAAGCTAATAGAGTCCTCTTTGTGGACTGCTCTGGAGTATACTAGTTAAAAAGGAAAGGCTTTCTTCTTTTATCATCTGCTTATATTCTATTATATTTAAAACCTAGCACAAAAACGGAAGACATGGTAGATTGTGGTTATACCTATAACATAAAATCACAACCTCTGGTTCGAATGATTCCTAGAGGGTTAACAGGCACTTGCCTTCTTGCTACTACCCTTGTTCTTCTAATATATTACTTATTTAGTGATGTGTAAAACACTTACTGCTGTAGCACCTAAGTGCTAACATACGAAGTTAAAAACATATAAATTATTTAAATCCACCAACTAATGGAAATAAAAAATAAAAAAGAGGAAAAAAGGATGTTGATAACTTAATGCAAACTGCTGGGAATGGGTCTAAGGAGTGAATGGATTTTTGAATCAAGAGCAGTTAGAGAGCCAATTCTTGTAGAAAACCAACACTGTATAACACCATCAACAGGGGGACATAAAAGAAACAGATGAGGAATCCAACTTGTAACACATAAAATGACAGAAGAGATGGGTGATGGCAACCAGTGAGATGTGTCAAAGATGACAAGTTTTGGGGAAGCAGAGGGTCTGGCCTGTGAGCTGGACACCCAATAAGCAATGACTCTAGAAAGACAAATGGGCAGCAGTTTGTGGGCCTTGAAGGCCTCCCCTCTTGTATAAAAAGGGCTCTGGGAGCTTGGAAACAAGTTGCCCACTCCATTTATCAGTTTTCATCATCTCTCTTGGGTTAGCCCTCTCTACTAATCTAGGAGGTGAGGCAGCAGAGTAGAAAGAGCCTTTCATTTTCTCCTTATAAAATGAGGACAGTATCCCACAAGGTGCTTTGTATTCAGGATAAAATGAGATAAAACATGCAAGTACTGGAATACTAGTTATGAAATTATTGTTAGTTTTCTTATGCTATGGCAGAGACAGCTTCAAGATTTGTGCTCCCCTGAGAAGTTACTACCCAGCCAGGAAGTGACCATATTTCCCAGCCCTACTAGCGTGACTGTGGGCAACTGACTAGTTCTCTCTGGGGCAATGCAAGTGGATGTTCACTATGCCCAGGCCCAGGCTGTTCAGAACCTTCTCTCTGTTCTTTCCCCATCTTCCAGCTAGATGCAGGTGATGCTGATGAGGCCCTAGGTGATGACAGAACCACAAGAAGGAAGATACCTGGGTTCCCCCATCACCTGTGGAAAAGAGCGACTTAAGAACCAGGAACACCCACATCGACTGTTACATGACTGAGAAATAAACTATTGTGTTAAGCCACTGAAATGTTGAAGCCACTATCTGTTACAGTAGCAACAGTTACCCTAACCAATATATACATGCTATATGGTAATACTATAATAATGGTGAGGGTGCCAGACACTGCATCAATTAACCATCATTAATGCTATTACCAAATCTTGGCCAAATAAGTACATGAAAAGATGTTCAACATTATTGGCCATCAAGAAAATACAAATCAAGGCCTGACTGGCGTGACTCAGTGGTTGAACACTGACCTATGAACCAGGAGGTCAAGGTTGGATTTCCAGTCAGGGCACATGCCTAGGCTGTGGGCTCGATCCCCAGTAGGGGGCGTGCGGGAGGCAGCCAATCAATGACTCTCTCTCATTATTGATGTTTCTATCCCTCTCTCCCTCTCTCTAAAATCAATAAAAACATTTTTTTTAAAAAAAAGAAAAAGAAAATACAAGTCAAAACCATACTGAGATGCCACTTTACTCCCACTAGGATGGCTATGAACAAAAAGATAGACAATAACAAATACTGACAAGAATGTGGAGAAATTGGAAATCTCATACATTGCTGGTGGGAATGCAAAATGGTGCAGCTGCTGTGGAAAAGTTTGGCAGTTCCTCAAAAACTTAAACACAATTACCATATAACCCAGCAATTCTCCAGTTCTAGGTATATACCCAAGAGAACTGAAAACATGTTCACACAAAAACTTGTACCGGAATGTTCAAAGCAGCACTATATATAATAGCCTAAAAGCAAAACGCGCAAAAGAATTCAAAAGTTCATCACATGATGAATGGGTAAACAAAATGTGAGATATATATATATATATAAATATATATCTCCCCGTATAATGAAATGTTATTCAGCCATTAAAAGGAAAGAAGTACTGACACATGCTATAACATGAATGAACCTTGTAAACATTATACTAAGTGAAAGAAGCTGGGGAAAAAGATCACTTACTATATGATTCCATTTATATGAACTATCCAGAATATGCAAATCCACAGAAACAGAAAGTAGATGATCGGGTGCTGGGGCTCAGGGGGCTGGAGGGAAACGGGGAGCTGCTAATGGGTAGGTTTCTTTTGGAGGTGATGAAAATGATCTAGAACATTAGATAGTAGTGATGGTTGCATGGTAAATATACTAGAAACCACTGAATTGTATGATTTAAAAGGGTGAATTTTTACAGTATGTGAATCATTATCTCCATTTTAAAAAAATCTCAGCTATTTGCTTTATCTTGCTTCTCAGAAAATCTGGCTCTACACAGAAAAGTACTGAGCTCGTTTTAGGTAATGACTGGGAAAGGGTATGAGGGAACCTTCTAGATGCTCATTTTGATCCGAGCAGTAGATACATGGGTATATACACATGTACATGTTCACTCCAGGCACAAGTCTAGGCTGGTCAGAACTAGCAGAGTCCTTCCTCTTGGCTTCCCCCACAGCAGGTAAGCTCAAATAGCCCCCAAGCCCTATGCATCAAATGTCCCTATTTGCCTGCAAAGAACCTAAGGTACAAACTTTCCTTAGTTTGGGTAACAGTGTAGCTAACACAGAGATGGAATAAATATTTAAAGCTAACCCTGAGAATGGTGTGAGGGTGGGCAACAGGACAGAGTCCCAGAATAACTACTGAGATGTGTATTGCATCAGCAAAATTCTCTAGGGGTAGTGTGGGATGTGGAGGGAAGACCCAAGACAGAATTGCATATGGAAAATATCTTTTTCCCCCCTGCTTAGGTACATGCCATTTTCAAAAATCAAGTTCAAATCACAAAATAAGGAGAGTTTGTTTGGTCATATAAAGTAAATTCTCATCTAAGTATTTAATATTCAAAACTGAAGTAAAGGATCATGAGGCTGTTTTCAAGTTCCAAATAAGATATAATCTGGTGATTCTGTGAATCTTCATTGGAACCTTCTGAATTTATTGGAAAGACTGTATTTAAATTTGGAACAAATTCCTCAAAGGATGTCACTTACTTGCAGGAGACTTTAGTTCTGTCGGCCACCATGGTCCACTGTTGCTGGTTGGTGGAAACCTCAATGTAGTAGCTGTAGCTCCGATCGTCACAGTCCCAAAGTAATAACCTGAACAAAGGAAAACAAGGATGCTGTGAAATGTCCTACCTGGCTGTTTCCTTGGGCTGCAGGCCTGAGGGAATCCATGTCTACTCTCCCTCCCAGCTGCCTCCTCTGCCCCACTACACTTCCAGGACTGGGAAAAGAGTGAATCCCCAACAAAAGTTTGCTAAGAGAAGGTGGAGTGAATCTTCAGCAAGAAGTTGTCTCTTTAGGACTTCATTTCACAAGTCACTGAATCCCAGGCAGCCTCTGTCCCCAAGTGGCAGAACTTCTCTGACTGGTTTACCAGGGAGAAGATGTCACCAAGCCCTCCTCCCAGACTGTTACAACTCCCACCTCCAGTTGGCTGTGCTGACTAAAGGTAACCTCCTGAGACCACTGTTGGTGGGGAATCTGTGCTTTCCAATTAATTGGGAATGTCCTGATGACCTTAATGATCACATTTTAGGTTCCTTCTCATTATTACCAAACTTATTCTTTGCATACCTTTGGTAAGAATGTCTGATTTGGAAACACAGGCAAACATATATTCATTAGTAAAACTTTGGTATTATTTAGAAATTGATTACTTGGTCCTGTTCTTCTTACCCCCTTTTTTTTTTCCCAGATAAGAGCCTAAGCTATATGATTCCATTTACATAAAGCTCAAAAGAGACCAAATTTATATATGGTGACAGGAATGAGAATAGTGAATACCAATGAGGGTGGCAATGACTGAGAAAGAGTATAAGGGAAACTTCTAGGATGCTGAAAATGTGCTAATTTTGATCTGAGTGGTAGTTAGATTCACCGAGCTACACATAAAAGATCTCTACACTATATGTGTGTTACTCCTCTATCTAAAAAATAGAATAAAAAAGAACCTAAGTATTGTAGTATGAGACCAGACTACAGTCCTGCAGTCTGTTTGACAGGGCCAGAGTGGAGAAAGATTGCTGCTTTCTGTTATCTCAGCCTCATTACTCCTTCCCACACAAGACCTCTTAGTGTTTTACAGCTGGTCACACACATTGCCTTCCTCCACCAACTGGAAAGATAGAGTGAGCTCCCTGAAGGCAGGACCTATGTCTTATAGGTCTTCTTTCCTGCCTTCCTGCCTTCCTGTCTTCCTTCCTCCCTCCCACCCTCCTTCCCTCCCTCCCTCCTTTCCTTCCTTCCTTTTTTTTTTTTTTTAATTTTATTTTCCTTCCTATTTTTTATTGATTTTATTGGGGTGACACTGGCTAATAAAATTATGTAGGTTTCAGGTGTACAATTCTATAATATGTCATCTGTATATTGTATTATGCCTTCACCGCCCAAAGTCAAGTATCCTTCCATCACCATTTATCCCCACTTTACCCTCACCTACCTGCCCCCAGATCACCTTTCCCTCTGGTAATCACCATACAGTTGCCCTAGTGTGTGAGGTTGTGTGTTTTTTTAATCACTTCACCTTTTCACTCAGCCTCCAACACCCCTCCCCTCTGACAGCTGTCAGCATGTTCTCTATCTATGCGCCTGTCTCTACTTTGTTTGCTAGTTTATTTTGTTTATTAGATTCCACATATCAGTGAAACCATATGGTACTTGTCTTTCTCTGACTGGCTTATTTCAATTAGCATAATACCCTCCAGGACCATTTATGCTGTCACAAAAGGTAAGATTTCCTTCTTTGTTACTGAGTAGTATTCTATTGTGTAAATGAACCACTGCTTTTTTATCCACTCATCTACTGATGGGCACTTGGGCTGCTTCCAAATCTTGGCTATTGTAAACATCACTGCAATGAACATAGGGGTGTATATATTCTTTCAAATTAGTGTTTCTAGTTTCTTCAGATACATTCCCAGAAGTGGAACTGCTAGGTCATAAGGCAGTTCCATTTTTAATTTTTGGAGGAACTCCATACAGTTTTCCACAGTAGCTGGACCAATCTGCATTCCCACCAATAGTGCATGAGGGTTCCCTTTCCTCCACATCCTCACCAACACTTGTTGTTTGTAGATTTATTGATTGCAGCCATTATGACAGGTGTGAAGTGATAGCTAATTGTGGTTTTAATTTGCATCTCTCTGATGATTAGTGATGTTGAGCATCTTTTCATAAGTCTATTGACCATCTGTATATCCTCTATGGAGAAGTATCTATTCAGGCCCTTTGCCTATCTTTTAATTGGATTGTTTGTTTTTTGGTGTTGAATTTTATAAGTTATTTATAAATTTTGGATATTAATGCGTTATCAGATGTACCATTGGTGAATATGTTCTCTCATTCAATTTTCATTTTGTAGATGGTTTCCTTTGCTGTGCAAAACCTTTTTAGTTTGATGTAGTCCCCTTTGTTTATTTTTTGTTTCCTTTGCCCGAGGAGATGTATCAGAAAAAATATTGCTATGAGAAATGTCCAAGATTTTATTGCCTATGTTTCTTCTAGTATTTTTATGGTTTTAAGCCTAACATTTAAGTCTTTAATCCATTTTGAGTTTATTCTTGTGTATGGTATAAGAAGGTGGTCTAGTTTCTTTCTTTCTTTTGCATATATCTGTCCAGTTTTCCCAACACCATTTATTGAAAAGGGTATCTTTACCTCATTGCATGTCCTTGCCCCTTTCATCAAATATTAGTTGACCATAAAAGTATGTTTATTTCTGGGCTCTCTATTCTGTTCCACTGATCCATGTCTGTTTCTATGCCAGGATCATGCTGTTTTGATTATGAGGGCCTTGTAGTCTAGTTTGTTATCAGTTAGCATGATTCCTCCAAATTTGTTCTTCTTTCTTAAGATCACTGTGGATATTCGAGGTCTTTAGCAGTTCCATACAAATTTTTGGACGATTTCAAATTCTGTGAAAGATGCCATTGGTATCTTGAATAGGGACTGCATTGAATCTACAGAGTGCTTTGGGTAGTATGGACATTTAATGATGTTAATTCTTCCTATCCATGAACATGGTATACATTTCCACTTATTTGTATCTTCCTTATTTTCTTTCTTCAGTGTCTTACAATTTTCCAAGTACAGGTCTTCTATCCTTGGTTAATTTTGTTCCTAGGTATTTTTTTTAATGCAATGGGATTGTCTTCTTAGTTTCGCCTTCTGCTAGTTCAATACTGGTGTACAAAAATGCAACTGATTTCTGTATATGTACTGTGTATCCTGCTACTTTACTGAATTCATTTATCAATTCTAGTACTTTTTTTGGTGGGATTTTTCGGGTTCTCTATATACAGTTTGATGTCATTTGCAAATAATGACAGTTTTACTTCCTTTCCAATTTGAATGCCTTTTATTTCTTCTTTTCTGATTGCTGTGGCTTGGACTTCCAGTAGTATGTTGAATAAGAGTGGTGGAAGTGGACATCCCTGTCTTGCCCCAATCTTAAGAAAAAAACTTTTAGTTTTTGCTCATTGAGTATGATGTTGGCTGTGGGTTTGTCATACATAGATTGCCTTTATTATGTTGAAGTATGTTCCCTCTATTCCCACTTTGCTGAGAGTTTTTATCATAAGTAGGTGCTAGACTTTATCGAATGTTTTGTCTGCATCTATTAATATGATCATATGATTTTTATCTTTTATTTTATGTGGTGTATCATGTTTTCTGATTTGCAGTTTTTGTACCAACCTTGCATCCTCAGAATAAATCCCACTTGATCATGGTGTATGATCTTTTTGTTGGATCCAGTTTGCTAATATTTTGTTGGGTATTTTAGCATCTATGCTCATCAAGGGTATTGGCCTATAATTTTATGTCTTTGTAGTGTCTGTATTTGGTTTCAGAATTAGGATAATGCTGGCTTTGTAAAATGAGCTTAGGAGTCTTCCCTCCTCTTGAATTTTATAGAATAGTTTGACAAGGATAGGTGTTAGTTCTTTGAATGTTTGGTAAAATCCATCCAGTTCAGGACTTTTGTTTGTTGGGACTTTTTTTTTAAAATTACTGCTTCAATTTCACTAGTTATAATCTGTCTATTCAGATTTTCTGATTCTTCTTGATTCAGTTTTGGAAGATTGTATGTTTCTAGGAAATTGTCCAGTTCATCCATGTCCAATTTGTTGGCATATAGTTATTCATAATGTTTTCTTACAATTCTTTGTATTTCTGTGGTGCCAGTTGTTACTTTTCCTCTTTCTGGTTTTATTTATTTGGATCCTCTTTCTTTTTTTCTTGATGAGTCTGGTTAAAGGTTTGTCAATTTTGTTTATCTTTTCAAAGAACCAGCTCTTGGTATCATTAATCCTTTGTACAGTTTTTTTGGGTTCTATTTTATTTCTGTTCTGATCTTTATTATTTGCTTTTTTCTAGTCACTTTGGGCTTTGCTTGTTATTCTTTATCTAGTTCCTTTAAGTGAAAAGTTAGATTATTTGAGATTTTTCTTTCTTTCTTAAGGTAGGCCTGTAATGCTACAAATTTCCCTATTAGGACTGCTTTTGCTACGGCCCATAGGTCTAGGGTTGTTTTGCTTCCATTTGCATTTGTTTCAAGGTATCTTTTGATTTCTTCCTTTATCTCACTGTTACCCATTCATTATTTAGTGACATGTTATTCAGCTTCCATGTCTTTGTGTGATTTTGATGTTTTTTTCCTTGTGATTGATTTCTAATTTCATACCATTATGGTCAGAAATGCTGCTGGATATGATTTCAATCTTCTTAAATTTATTGAGACTTGTTTTGTGTCCTATGTGTGGTCAATCCTAGAAAATGTTCCAGTGCATTTGAAAACAATGTTCATTCTGCTGCTTTGTGGTGTGATGCTCTGAAGATACCAATTAAATCTATCCGATCTAGTGTGTCATTTAAGGGTGCTGCTTCCTTGTTGATTTTCTGTCTGGAAGACCTATCAGTTGATGTTAATGGTGTGTTAAATTCTTCTACTATGTATTACTGTCAGTCTCTCCCCTTATGACCATTAACATTTACTTTGCCTGGCCGGGCGTGGCTCAGCTGTTGAGCATCGACCAAGGATCCAGGAGATCAAGGTTCAATTCCCAGTCAGGGCACATGCCGGGGTTGAGGGCTCA